GCAAGCATCAAGTAGCAGAAGCAGCAATCAATCAGTTGGGCGATACGGGCAGTAGTGTAAAATATAATGTTTTCGATGGGTTTCAGAATATAGTTTGTCACCGAGCGATTGGTTCTTACTTATAAATCTAACCATTTACGTTCAACCGATCTAACCATTTATGTTCAATCGCTGAGCAAGATTGAATTTCGAAACCCATAAAAAAAAATGTTACAATCTTTTTGTGACCAGCTTTACAACAAGGATATGAGATTTATTCGCGTCGCATGTGCTATCTACTTTACATGTTCCAATGTGCTCCTGTTATAGCTTCTACTCACTTCAATGAGCGCGTTAGAGTGAGTAAATGTTATAGTAAGAGCATATCAGAGCATGCGACGCGAACAAATCTATGGAAAGATATTTGCAGGGTTAGGTAAATTAACTTTTTTTTTTAATTACATTAAGTTAAAGTTAACTTTGAAAATTTAACTTAGTTAAGATACAAGTTAATTTATAATAAAATTAATTGAATTAAAAATTAATTTAATAAAAAAATAATTGAAAAGTTAAAAGTTAAAGAATGATGACCCAAAAAGACCTGTTTTTTCGATCTCATTTTTTGGATCTCGAATTTCAAATTTTTTTAATGCCAAATAGTATTATATGATACAACATTAATCCTAAAGAAATTTTAAAATGAGCATAGGACTTCACTTGCGGAGATTGAAGGGATGAAAGTGATGGTTTCTCATAACCCATGAAAGTACACGAAACTCTTCAAGTGTCCAAAGAATAAAATATATATTTAACAAAATGAAACATATCATTTTTTATGGATTTTTTTACGCCGGAATCAAATATGATCTTAGTTTTTATCTAACATGAAAATTCCTCGAGATAGATGGAGTGAAATTGATGCTGTTTCTCACAGATTGGGGTGCTTTTTTAATGTGAGTCCTCTTGCCTCTCACAGATCGAGGTGTTTTTTTAATGTAAGTCCCCTTATCTCTCACAAATTGGGATGCTTTTTTAATGTGAGTTCCCTTGCCTCTCACAGATCGAGGTACTTTTTTAATGTGAGTCCCCTTACCTCTCACAAATTGGGGTGCTTTTTTAATGTGAGTCCCCTTGCCTCTCACAGATCAGAGTACTTTCATCCCCTTGTATCTTCGGAACCATGCTTATGCTTATTTTGAAATTCTACTGAGGGGATTAATGTTTCATCTAATATAAGATGTAGTAAAAAGAAATCCATTATTTTTGAAGAAATTGAAGCCTTTATTTAGTATAGTTAGAATGATCCAATTTAGGTCAAATATGCATCGTTTTGTTCGATAACTTGTTGCCATTTTGAAGAATTCCATTATGCTTCTCTCATAGAAATCCTCGTCTCTATTGGCAAAAAACTGGGACAGTCGATTTTCACAAGCTTCTCTTGAGGCGAATTTTTCACCAGCAAAATTATTCGCCATAGACAGGAACAGGTGGTAATCACTTGGAGCCAGGTCCGGACTATAAGGTGGATAAGAACCTCCCAACCAAGCTTCCGGAGCTTTTGGCGAGTCACTATCGATGTGTGTGGCCTTGCGTTGTCCTGATGGAACACAATTCCTCTCCTATTGGCCAACGCTGGCCGCTTCTGGGCGATTGCTACCTTCAGACAGACTACAACTGATTCAATTGTTGACAGTACAGGTCCGAATTAAGAGTTTGGCCGTAGGGGAGCAGCTCATAGTAGATGATTCCCTGCTAATCCCACTAAACACACAGCAAAACCTTTTTGGCCGTCAATCCTAGCTTGGCCATCGTTTGCACCGGCTCATCGCGATTCGACCACGACCGTTTTCGCTTGACGTTATCGTAAGTGACTTTTCATCACTATCCGCTTTAGAAATGGGTCGATTTTGTTGCGATTCAGCAGCGATTCGCAGATGGAAATTCGGTCTATGAGGTTTTTTTGCGTTAACTCGTGTGGTATATACATCGAACTTCTTTTTCCAGCCTTATTCAAGTGGTTCCAAACGGTTTTTTGTGCAATGTTTAGCTCCTGGGCAATCGAAATAGTGCTTACATGACAGTCGGACTTACTCGACGATTTCTATTATTTTATCGCCATTTTCGACAATTGGCCTTCCAGAGCGTGCATCTTTGACATCAAAATTACCGGAACAGAATCGACAAAACCAAAATTGCGCGTGATTGGCTGTTACAGTATCAGGACCATAAACACTATTCACATTTTCAGCCGCCTGGCTTGCGTTTTCACTTTATCGAAGAAAAACTGTAAAATATGATTTTTCGTATTTTTTCTTTGCTGGTGTCCATCTTTGACGCGCACTCAAACAATACTGAGTCAAGCAATCATAAAACTGTCTGAGAAGTTTTTTTAGTACGAAATCTTATCTTTCTAGCGTAACTCGATCGCACTTATACAACGCGAGATGCAGATTACTAAAGCCATCTATTGGAAAAATAATGGATTTCTTTTTATTACATCTAGTATTGGGAGTACAGATAAGTTTCCGCCATTTTTTAATCAAAAATTAAGCATTTATTGTGAAAGAATGGTACATAATGTTTTATTCAAAGTAATGGTCATCGCTAGCCACTACTTTTTCCCATCTTTCTGGTAGGTAGCATGTGGATACCGCGTCGGAAGAACGCTTCATCTTTTGAGGCTATCCAATCATTGACACAATTATCTTCATATGATGAACTGCTGCTCAGACAGGCCATGTGTCATCGATTGGAACAAGTGGTAGTCAAACAAGCGGAAGGAGCAATGTCTAGATAATACGGCGGGTGGGGTAGAACTTCCCATTTGAGTGTTTCTAAGTAGGTTTTGACCGGCGCCGCAACATGTCGAGCATTATTATGCAGGAGAATAATTTTTGTCATGCTTGGAGTAGTAGCGCGTTTTTCCTTGAGTGCTCGGCTCAATCTCATCAATTGTGTTCGATAGAGAGCCCCAGTAATGGTCTCGTTCGGTTTGAGCAACTCATAATACACGACACCAAGCTGATCCCACCAAATACACAACATGAGTTTTTTTCCATGAATATTCGGCTTGGCTGTCGATGTTGAAGCATGAGGTGGTCCTCATGATTTCCTCTTCTTTGGGTTATCGTAGTGGATCTATTTTTCATCACCAGTGACTATACATGCAAAAAACCTTTTCGTTTATGCCTGGTAAGCAGCATTTCACATGTGAAAAATCGGCGTTCAATGTTTCTTGGCTTCATATGGAACCCAATTCCCTTGCTTTTGAATCATTCCCAATAATTTCAAACGATATGAAATTATTTGTTGAGTCACTCCTAATGTATAATAAGTGCAAGTTCTTTTTGCATTTGGCACGAATCTTCCAATAATGCTTCTAATTCCGCGTCTTTGTACACTTTCGGCCTTCCGCTATGTTCTTTGTCTTCGACGTCAAATTCACCGTTCTTAAACTTTTGAAACCACTCACGACAACTTTTCTCACTTAAGGCAGCATCACTATATGCTTCTACAAGCAATCTATGAGCCAGCTGCAGATTTCCTCAAATTAAAGAAGTAAATCAAAAGTTCCCGCAAATGACGCTTATTCGGCTCAAAATTCGACATTTTCGTACAAAAAAAATATATGATGCTGATACAAAATCGCTAATATTCAAGGTTATGGTATTGCCGGATGTCCAATCTTACGATATGTCGTTTTACATCAAATAATTTTAACTACAGTTTATTAGTGGTGCTGTCTTTTGCAAACAGCGGAAACTTATTTGTATTCCCAATACTATTTGTCATAAAAAAAAGAAATTCGAGGTCCAAAAAATAGGCAAAATTTGCCATCATTCTTTGTTTTTCTTTTTAATTTTTTTATTTCAAGATTCCAGGGTTTTAGTCTTATAAATAACGGAAATGACAAATATATATACAGGATATGCGTCACTAAAATCCGGACAAATTTCAATTTAAGTTTTCTGCTATATTGTGCCTCCGTTAGAGATTGTTGTTGGCGTCCGAGAAATCCTGATGCTTCTAATAAACAGTCATATTCTCAAAATGGTGATGTTGAAACCAAGTGCGGAATATAATCGAAGAGCCACCTATCATCGAAGGTCTTCGCGCTGGGCATTCAGCAACGGAAATAATTCGATTCTTTGGATTCAAGATCAATCGTTTATGACATTTGGCAAAATATACGGCTTTAGAACAGTCCAATGAAGGTTTAATAATAATAGGAAGAATCACTCGAAAGAACGCATCAAGAGGACCTCCGCAGTTGTTGAAAAAGCTCAAAAACGCTGATTTCGAATGATTCAGGACAATCGTTGCGAAAATTAGTATCGATTGTTGATGTAAGCGAGCCAACAGTGCGTCGAATTGCCGAGGAGGATCTTCGATACAAATCGTACATATTAAAGATACGACAGATGCTCTCTGAGACTACCAGGACAAGAAAGTTGCTCGCCTCGGTTCTCATTCTGGTCTCCCAACAGCCCAGATTTAAATCCCTTGGACTACTACGTATGGAACGTAGTTGAAAGGGGTCACAAACAAGTCTCGGTATCTCAATGTGACGTCATTAAGGACCGCTATTGAGGCAGCATTCATCGGCATGGACAGCGCTATATTACAGCGTGCGTGCGAACGCTTCAGACTGAGAATCATTCAAACTAATGAGAGATATATCGAATAATTGTACTCTACAAAGAATCCCCAAATGCCATGTAAAAGGATTTTTGTAATTTTATAATATTTAATTATTCATTAAAAACATTTTGTTTAAAGAAATTGTTCGATTTGTCCGGATTTTGATAACGCACTCTTCATTTAGAAAATATTTTATATTTTATTTACATATTTTGTTTATATATACTGTTTATATAGACTGTTATGTATACTGATTGAATATTTTGTTCATATTATATATTTATTAAATTTAAGTAATAAAGCCATTCGAAATGTCAAACATCTTTCCTCACAAGTTATCGAAAATGAGTCTTCCTGCACTGAACAGTCATTCAACGTGAGCCGAAGATAATAAGAGAAGATGATATTGATGTGTTATATTTTAATAATAAGGAATAATATTGTAGATTTCAATCTATTTAAAACTATATCGAAATACACGGTTTCTGACAGATTGAAATCTGGGGCACGATTGTGTAATTTGAAATGAAGTGAAAATCACAAAAGTGAGCAAATTCATTAGAATATTTATAATTTCAATGGTCAACACTTAGTAAATTTGTTTTCTTTTGCAATTTTCATCTCATTTTAAGTTATTGCCGCGTCTTATGTCTGAGACTTAAAAAAAAAAACAAAATAAAAAATTAATAGTTACGGATAAAATATGACTAAATAAAGTTAAAAAGTTAAAATTAATTAACTTTTTAACTTTTTAATTTAATTTTTATCTTTTTAATTTAAAACTTTTTACATTTAAAACTGAAAAAAATCTGATATTGTAAATTTGATGCTCATACATATTGTACTATTTCTTTTGCATTGTAATTAATAAATATAAAAGTTAAAAAAATATCATAGACAAAATATTTTACAGAAGAGCTATTAGGAGTCGACGATAACTTTATTATTTATATCTTATTGAACGTTGGACTAAAAATTTAATTAAATATAATTAAATGAAAAACGAATTAATTAAATAAATAAAAACGAATAATAGTATATTGTAATATAATATATTTTTTTATGCGCTATTAATTTTTATTTTATCAGTGCCATATCTAATATATTTTATTTCATGGGGAATTTATTTAATTTATTTAATAAAATTTAAACATGTTTTGAATAAAAACTAAAGAAATTTTTGTCTTAAATTTTTTTCTAGTAATAAATAAAACAATTACGAATATAACATGCAAACAATAATACAATTGAGACTTTATAATTATCGTGAATAATTAGTAACATATATATTTTTTAAGCGCAATAAGAAGACATTTTATGAAATATTTTTTGGGGATTTTTATTTACATATTTCATTTGATAATACATCTGTCTTCGTACATATTACAAGTAAAAGCTAATATAGACATATGCTAATTAATTACGTAGATGTATTCCAAAAATATAATTTGTTGTCGATTTAAAATTTCTTATTTCTCTCATATATAATCGAGATCAATATTATGTTGTTTCAAAAGCTTATAAATAACTCCTTTTTATTTCCCTGCTTAAAAATTCCTATTGAAATCGATAGAAATCAATTTAATTTTAAATTCGATAGAAATGTAATGAGAATGAATTGCTTTAATGGGAAATATAAATTTATCCGATTGAAAATTAATAAAATTCAATAGAATTTCTATCTTCTATAAGAATTGATATGTGTTTACTGTTTACCCATTGGAAACGTTGGTCATCAATCGGATTTAATAAGATAATTGCAATTTTTGCAGAATTAAATCGATGGAATTTAATCGATCATTCTACTATACATATTAAATGGGCTTTAAATAGAAGATTTACGTGATGAAGTTCAATAGGATTGCATTAGATTTCACACGAATGGTATTTAATAGGTTTATATTGGAAAATTGCTTCGACTGAGATAAATAGAATACTATCGGTTTTCATAATATACGTTCAATGGGTTTTTAAACGGAAGATATTTGTGATCAATAGGATTCAGAATTCACACGATCAGCAATCATTGGGATGTAATTAAAAATTCATATGTATCGACATTAATAGGATTTTATCGGATTTTATAAGATACTATTTTATAAGATATTATTTCAATTGATTTTAATTGGAAAACATCATTATTCGAAACTAACGAAATTCCATCGAATTTTATATCACACGTCTTTAACGGCTTTTAATCGAAAATTTACATTGAACAAATTTAATGAAATTTTATTGAGTTTCGTGCATCATGATTTCAATTGATTTTAATAGTTCACTTTTACTGAATTTAATAAGATTCTATTGGATCTTTTATAATAAACACCTAATAGGTTTTAATCGAAAAGTTACTAATATCGAATTTAATGGGATTTTGTAGGATTTTGTAAGTTACATGTGCAAATATGAAAATCTATAGATTCTTATATTAAATATTATATAATATTAATTCCGATTGAGTGAGATCGAATCAATTATAGGTATTTGCAGATTGACTCATTCGTTTTGGTCGATTAAATCTTATTGAATGTGTATCGTTGGAAAACTCATTTGATTTGCCTACAAATACATCATTGATTTCCTATTGACTTCCATTAAATGCTGATTCATTCCGATTTAGGAAAGTTAATGGGAAATCTACTTTTCAATCGGAGGTTGTTGTTGCACAATTCGGGTTCAACCCGTAGGAAATTTTTCAATCAAAAGTTTCAATGGAAATTTTTAAACAGGTCTTCATTATATTTTCTACTGCTTTTTTTATGCTTTTTTATTTTGCTTTCTATACAAATAGCGGTATACATTTTTAGTAATTTCTCTCATATTTTGCATATGAAAGAAGAAAGAAATTTTTTAAATCGACAACAAATTATATTTTTATGCGTTATATTTTAAGCTACAGCTTCAAGGTGAAAAAAATGAGAATTTAAAAGAAATTACTAAAAATGCATACCGCTATTTGTGTAGAAAAATAAACGCATAAAAAAAGCAGTAGAGAATAGATAACATAATAAAGAAATAAAAAGAAGAAAAAAGAAATAAAAAAAAAGAAGAAATAAAAAACTTCTAATACTATAACTTATTCAGTGAAATATCACGGAGAGAATTTTCTTTTAAAATTTACTTTGAAAATATGGTAATTGTGAACAATACAATATTTTAAAGATTTTTACCATGCATTTCAGTAAAATTGATCAAACTTATTTTATACTTTATTGTAATTTTATTAATGAATGAGAGAGATTTACATTAAAATTTTTCAACATACAATGTTGTCCCACGATTGTTATATTTTCAAGATAAAAAGAAAAAGAAAAAATTCTCTCCGTGAATATTTATTAAATATAGTATAATTTTTCATAAAACCATACGAAGATAGTTTATTTTACTTCGTTTATACATTTTGCTAATCTACTGTTCCATTAATATTCTTATATTTAAATATGACTTCTTCGTATGACCAAACATAAATGCAACAGAAAATGACAGAAATTTATTTGCGTAACATTATCCTAAATCGCAAGGAACAATAAATGTCACTTTAATATGTTATATCATTAAATAATTCAAATATTAGTAGCGACATATTTAACTATGACTTTTAAAAAGTAGTAAAATTTTTCATATTCCAATTATTCATAATTGGTAAATGAAAAATTTTATTACATTTTGAAAGCCATAGTTAAATATATCGCAATTGAACAATCTGAAACTTGTTGATTGTAAGAAGATATCATTAAAATATACCCAGTAAATACGCATGTCAAAAAACAATCCGAAAGACGTCTTTCAAGATCTTATTTAAAAGATGTTATTTAAATGATTTAGGCAAGTTTAAAGATGTCTTTTAAATATCTTTTTTAAAACGTCTTTAAGACTTATCTAATAAATGTCTTGAAGACAACTCTTAATTATATCTTAATATTTTTTAAGCTGTATTTTGGAAATATTTTTAAGACATCTTTGAGAATAAAAATAAGACATATTGCAATTTTGTAATAATTCGTAATAATATTTGTAATAATTTCAGCGGTGTCACGTACCGAGTTATGTGATAGTTAATAGTTAATGGTGTTAAATAGTATATTACTAGAGCTATGCTTGATGCACAGCCTGTGAAGACAGATTATGAGCCTGCTATTAATTGTTTATTGCAAGTAAATAACAAATTGTAAATAGAGTTTGCATTATCTGACATTGTTAGCAAATTGCTGTCAGAAATATGACAACGCCTGCTAGATATACATAGACTATGTCAGCAAATTAGTGGCAGAAATCGAACAAAGTCCTGCTTAAAGAGCAGAACCTGATATGAGAAGACTTTGCTCGGTTTCTGCTGATATAACTTATCAGCAGACTTTCTAATCTATATCCTAATAAAGACACAGATGGTTATGGTTTTATAGTCAATTTTGCAAAACAGATTTTGACTGCAAAATTATAACCATCTGTATTATTTTAACTGACTTATTCTGCTTGAGAAGACATCTTAAGGATGTCTTAAAACATCTTTTAGCACAATTTTTCGGACATCCTACAGAATTTAATGACATCTTTTAATTGTCTTAAAGACGACTTAATGTTTACTGAGTAATTTCACTTGAGCAATATTAAGTAATATTAAGTGACATAAAAACTTATTTTATATAAATGATTATAAAAAATATGACATTGACATTATCTTTAAATCTTTATGAAGGAACTAATCGATCACGTACGGTTGGTTCTATTGAGATTCGTTGAATTCTTAATGACTCCTCAATACCATTTGGATTCGCCGATAGAGTAATAATAGTTTCTTGTTCTTTAATCAGAGTCCTAGGTCGTATATCAGTCGCCATAATAGAAAGACGCATCATAGTTCGTTGTTCTTGACGAGAATCGCCCAAGTTCTTTTTTGAACTGACAAGCGAAGAACTTGGCCCTTGTTCGCGTGCACTTGGGTCTGGTGACTGTCGATGTCCTTTTCGTTTTCTCTTCATCATGGCGCAACAAAACAAGTATCTAACACAAATTACAAAGTTATTTAGACGTAATCAATTAAATTTTAAGAGTTTAGAAAAAAGGGAAATTTTGGTTTATAAGACTCGGTTAGGCATGCGAGTGCATGCGTTTCGTTCGGAGAGTGTGCGAAAATTAATAGTGATGAGTGCGGATATTTAAAGAGCGTGTGGTTTTACGAGCGTGGACTCGATAAGGAAGTCAAGAAATTAGAGACAGAGACAGGCGATAGTTAGTTTGTAAGAAGCAGACGAAAGAAGGTGCAACGAAAGAGTAATGTGATTATTGAATATCATATCAATAGAGTTTCTTCGGGGATCAAAGACTTGCTTGTTTTCACTTTTCAATATTAGTAAATTTATCTGTTTTCGGAATCAGTATCAGTATGATAATATGTCGAAGATATGGAGAAAGGAAATAGAGATTTATTAGAAAAAGAAATTAAAGAGATAAAGAGATCATGGAAAAAGAGATCAAAAGATTGAATGAGGAATGGGCTAAGCAAATGGAAGAAGCAGAAATTAGAATAAAGGGATTGACAGAGAAATGCAAAGAACTAAAAGTTAAATATTAGTGTCTAGAAGGAGAGGTTAAGGGAAGAGAAGGGTTGTTAGGGAAAAAACTGAATAGGAAAGAGCAGAGTGACCAGGTGTATATAGTTAAGATAAAGAGTGAAGAGGAAAAAAAAGGAAATTATGAAAAATAAGCACAAATTAAAAAGAGAGAGAATATTTATAGAAAATGATTTGAGCTGAGAAGAAAGGAAAATTCAGAAAAAAATGAATAGGTAAAAGAGAATAGGTATAGGAAAAAGGGAGAGAGCTATGTTATTTTGGAATTATGCAGGGATATGGAATAAGGATATGGATTTTTGGAGATATGTCAAAGATTTTAACTTTATCAGTGTGTGTGATATGGGTATACAGAAAAAGGATTGGGATAAGCTAAAGGATAGACTTCCAAGAACACATGTATGGGAGTATTATTTTGCTAGGAGGGAAGGAAGGAGAGGTAAGACTAGTGGTGGTTTTATAATAGGGAAAAGAAACGGTTTCTTGAGGATTTCTTGAGGCGTTGGGTGGCTCTGGGTTCGGTGGATTCATAATCCGCGGATCTGGATTTAATTCCGCCTGCGCCTTACATATACGCGCCCTTACAAATGTGTGGTTTTTACATATTCATAGTTAAGGGGCGCAATTGCCCCAAATATATTCTATGGAGCATGCCGTCCGTTCAAAAAGTTATCTCTGCTTATGGATAAAGGGGAAAGAATTTAGAGGAAAAATTGGAAGAATTTATGAAAGAAGGGAAAAAAAGAAAGAAATTTAATCATAGGTGGGGGATTTTAATAAGAATAGGGGAGCAATGGAAATGGAGAGAGAGGAAAGCAGCAAAAATAAAACCGTAGGAAATAGAGGTAGGAGAAATGAGTAAGAGATAAAGGTTTATACTTTGTAAACGAAAATACGCTAGGTGATTGGAAAGGTGAATATACAAAGGTTCAACAATTCGGTTATAGATTATGATTATATATTACAATTTTAACACTTACCTGTCAAAATATTTTCTAAAAGGACCACTTACGCAGTAGAGAGCGATAGGGTTGATGCAGCTGTTGATGAAAGCGAGGCAGAAACCCAAGATACGAAAGTAGTGCCAAAAGATATTATAATCCGTTTGCGAAGTTGGATTAAAGTAAAACCACAACATAAAAACATGTTGCGGAAAGAAACAAACAGCAAAAACAATTACGAAAGCCATTACCATCTTCGCTACCTTTTTACGGGCTTGTACTTGTTTTATCTAAAATACAGCATGTATTAATATGCGCACAAATAAACACGTAATGTTTATTATTGTATAAATTATTGTATTTGATGTATGAACTATTACCTGTCCTTGCATTTCGCCGAGTATATCTCTCGTACTGCGCATAAGATGTCTGGCCATCAATATATAGAAAACGGCGATGATGGTGAGAGGTATAACATAGTAGATGAAAAAGCGACATGTTACTATCATCTTTCCATAATTTGGTCCGAATTCCTCGGGAAATGGATAACACACCTTGAATTATATGATACATAAATTATATATCAAAATCTTTAGGTCATTTCTACATACTTTATAGGATAGAAAAGAACGTCGTACATTCTTTAGCTTTTACGTACGATTGTTAATGACGAATTTTACGTTACGAGTTAAGTCTAAAATGGGATTATAGTTAGGAGTACGATGATTTGACTTACATAAAAGCTTACGTTCCGATTAACCCTGAAGAATCTAATGTATGAAAAGGAGCCTGGGATCGCACATATTATAGCCAAAACCCAAATCAGGACGACAATAATTGCAGTGAAACGTATTGTTCGTTTTCCACTACCTTGAATAAATAATATCAGATAATTTAATTTAATTATTAGTAGACTTAATCTTTTATTTTTGTTATGGATTTTATTTGTCTTCATAAAAAAATATGTAATTTTAATTTATTGAGAAAGATATCAATTACTTAGGTCTTGATATCAATAATGACATTATTTTAATGATTTATATCGCACATTTCTTTAAGTTTCAAATAACGCAGCTATGGTTTTATACCTGCAACGTGTAATTTTCGCATAGGATCCACGATAGCGAAAAATCTGTCTGCTGACAGAGCAGTTAAAGTAAAAACGGAGACTCCGACAGATATATCCTTTGCGCACTCAGAGAATTTACAGACTAATAATCCAAAAGGCCAAGAATCCAAAACGTAGACGGTAAAAGTGAACGGGACACATGTTATTATTACCTGCAGAACAAATTAAATAATTACGCAATAGTAATCGATTAAAACAAGAAGACAATAGTAATAACATACAGTAAAAGCGTAAAATAATTGAAGATTTGATGGTTAGAACTAAAAGCTCGATTTTAATTGCTTTTATTCAATTTATATAGTCAACTGTTAAAATCTGATATTTGAGCAGTTTGTATTGTAACAGAGCAAACCGCATCTGTCGATACTAGACATTTCAATTAAAAAGCAGCTACTATCTGTATACTATCTGTTTATATAAGCTTATCGCAAAGCATATCATGTAATTAATGAAATGTAATCTACTTGTATAGAAAAAAGTATATTGTAATCTCTGGAATAACTAATTATTGAACAGAGAAGCTGTTGCCGAAAATTCCAGGAATGTAAGAGCCAATTAAGATTGTTTGGTATGTATGGCTGAGAGGCGTGGGTCGAGTCATCCGCATCACGTAGAATTTGTCATGCAACGACGCGAAAATCACATATATATGTGATAATATTTTGCGTCTGCAATGGACGTATTAGTTTAGAGTGCATTCCGTTTCACACATGATGTACATAATGCATCATTTATCCTTGTTATTCACCGAATATTAAACAAGGATAATATATGTGTAATATATATATATATATATA